CAGGTCGACCTGTGTCTTTCCAAGTCCACTATCTCTGAACCAGCTCCTTTTGAGGATAGAAAAGAGGATGCTGTCATTTTATCAGCTCTCAGATCACGGAATAACATGATACATGTCATCTCGGTATATTTATACTATATGCCATATCTACTACATCACTCCAGTTTGCAATTATTCCCGGAACTCTAACTATAAATCCAACCGCCTCGCTGGCATTTCCAAGTGGGCGGCGAGCCCAGCTCCCACAATGATTTAGCTGAACCGTTGAGGGATCAGTCAGCCTTATTGAGCTTCAGGATCTCCATCTCCTAAAGGAGTCTTTCATTTGAATCTGGCAGAAGTGCTGAGCTTGTGGTTTTGTCCACTTGCCCAAACGGCCAGGGAACACCGGCTTTGGATGACCACAGCTTGGTCATCCTGTGAGTCTCGATCCGTCTCCCCTGGCTGGGGCTGCAGTCCCCTCCTCTGGAGCAGATGCTCTCAGAAGCTGATCAGGAACGGCAGAATCCCCTGAAGAGCATGAGACTTCCGGGCCCCTTACCCCCGGAGATCAGGGGTCTCCAGAGCCACCTTTATCAGCACCCCATGGATTCAGACTGAGGCTGCACTCTGGAAAACATCGTTCTAGAATCCGGGGCCACTAACAGCTCTCCTCCTCTGGCTGGGCAGCGTCCACATCCAATCAGCTGTCCCTAAGGTCCGATCTCTGTCCATGTTGGCATGTCCAGCTCTCTTCCTGTCCTTTCCCTGACAACCTCTTTTTTATAAATTCCAGTAGTCTATGAAACTTAAGCCTCGACTTCTCTCTGCTTTTCTTCAAACCCTGGTGGATTCCAAGGATAAGTGTTTGCCTTGTCCACCCTTCACGTGCCTGTCTCCGTCAAATGAAGCTGTGCGTGGAGTTCATCTCCAAATCACCTGGAGCAGGGTGGGTGGGGTGCTTGTTAGTGAAGATAGCAGGTTCTGTGGGTGGAGAGGAAGTCCCGCACCAGGCCCTGGGCTCCACCATGAACAAGGAGGTCATGGGCAGCTGGTCCATCGGCCAGGCTGGGAGACACTCTCTGGAACACTTTTCTAAGTCTTCTTTCTGCAGAACTGATAGTCGTTGATACATAGGATTTGTCTAGATTTTGACCAAATAAGTGCTTGACACAGATAAAAAGAATCTCAGACCTTATTTCAGAGAGAAGAGAACTCAGCCTTTCACTTCTGAGGTGCGAAAACAGAGAGGCTCAGAGAGGTGACGTGGCTGATGGGACCTTCCTTCAACCTAATCCAAAGCCCTCGGTGTTGAGGCTCTGCCAAGAAGCCAGCCCCTGGGCCTGTGGGATAAGCACACGATTCCCACTCAGCAGGCCTTTCTGAGACTCGTGGGCGGAAGGAGAGGACCTGGCAGCTGAGGTGCAAGGCCTGCTGCACTTTAGGGTATGCCCTGAAGTTCGGCAACTCAGGAGGAGAGACACGGAACGGCAACGAAATGGAAGTTTCTAGAAATGCTGTATGTGGTGAAGGAAAGTGAAGACTTTTATTTTAAGCAGAAGTTCATTTCACTGTTGCTTTATCGTAAGTGGTGTTATATCTCACAATAAGCAACGTTTAAAAAGGAAACGAGGTGTGAGGAGAAGGGGAAGTTCGGAGGAGTGGATACTGAACAGACCCAGCCCGTGGGGGGGTCTTGGGTGTCCTACAGGCTGGCTCTCGTGTTCCGTTCTCATAATCATCTGGGGAATTAGAGTCACGACCTCAAGTCATACATCAAGAAAAATTCCAGATGTTAAAATGCAACCAAAATAGAAAGGAGCACAGGAGAATTATTTTGTAACCTCAGAGTGAAGAAAGGCTTTTGAAATATGACTCAAAGTCCAGAGTCCATAAAAATGATTGACAGATTTGACCACAAAGAGAATTAAAACCTACATGGAAAAAATATCAGTAGGCTCAAAAGACAAATGAAAAACTGGGGAAAAACCATTTGTAATATGCCACCAGTAAAAGGTCTACTCCTGTAATACGTAAACTAGTGAGAAAAAGACCAGCATACCAAACGAAAAATGAATGACAGGTCTCAAAGAAGGAATCACAGACAATTCTTAATTATGTATAAAAACTTGAAAAAATTTACTAATAATAAAAAGTGAAATTAAAATGTGTCAGCACATTTTTAATCTATTTTCTTAGCAAAATTTTAGAAGGTTCATTATGCACTGCATTGGCAAAGACTTTGGGGGAAATAGGCTCTCTCACTGATGGGCTAAATACGAATTTCCTTTGAAGGTGAAGTTGTCAGTATCTGTCAAACTTACAATTACGTGTACTCTTGACCCCTGCTTTAAGAAATTTATCTTACTTTACGTGAGGCACACATGCAAGGATATGACTAAAGACTGGAAACAACCTGAATGTCCATTACTAGGGGACTGGCCAAAGACAGCCGGGACACTCACACAATGAAGGATCATGCGTTGATGTAGAAGATCTGGAAGAACATGCTGGAAGACAGACACTACCATGAGCAGAGAGTTCTAGGCAGACGAGGAAGAGTATGTTCATCTTAAATGCTTTTTGATTTTTTGAAATCACATAAATATATTATGTATTCAGAAACTTATTTAATTAACCAGGAGCCTGTCAAAAATGCACACGGTTTTCCCAGCATTAACCCCACTGAATCTGAATGCCCAGGGTGAGACTGCCCTGCTCACCCCAAGGGTGTGTTGAGTTAGTTGTTCTTTTGTAAAGACTCTACACAGTGAGCTGCATCTTCTGGGTTTCAGGGAGCAGTGCAAACCAAAGCTACCATCCCTCACGCAGGAGATGGAGCGCTGAGTGAACCGCCGTCTGCCCAAGTGTGGCGAGATGGATGCCATGATGATTATATGGCTTCCAGAAAACAATCTGTACTATTTATAGCCAGGGATGGACTCCAATTCTCTAATTTTTTTTTGTATTATATGTAGAAAAAAATGAAAAAGAAAGAAAACAACCCATTTTGTGCTCTGAGTGATAAATGAACAAAGAGGGAGCCAGCCAGACTTTCAACCACCAATTCCAACCACTGCCATGCACACTGAGTTCACCATCTGTCCAGAGCAACAATACAGATACTGATGAAAAGACCTGGCTGAGCTGGAAAGTCACCAAAAGGCTGTCTTTTCTGATCTCTCTCAGGTTGAAAACACCATGCCCTACAGTCCCGCTAGGCAGGCTTAGGTGGGTACCAAGAGAACTGAACCTGCTTGGGCAACAAACTCAGGGTGAGCAGGCCCTTAGAAGCACTGACCCTCACAGCCCTGGACAGGCTGCCCCCGGGGAAGGGCTCATCCAGATGAGAACACGGCTGCACCTGGGGGAGGCTCAACCCTCGAGTTCCACACAGTAACGGGACAGAGGCCCAGAAGGTGACAATCTCACACACAGAACGCAGCTAAAGGAGACAAGTGGAGAACAAACTGCACGATTTCACCTCCATTAAAATAATGGGAAAAAGCAACCCCTGGCTGTAGAGTAAGGACGGTTGGTGGCACAAGGGAAGAGGGTGCGGGTGGGGGGCATTTCTGGAGATCGGTGACCTGGGTGATCAGTTTGTGCAAAGCCGTCAAGCCATGCACTTTGTATTTGCAAATGTTCTGCACTTTTCTTAATGCTTTTTGTTTAATAGTTTTTTTAAGCATTATAAGGCAGAATGAGCAGCATGTGAATGAGTTGGGGAATCATGCTCTCCCAGCCTTGGCTGAGATACCAAAGAGAGTCCAGACAGAGGCCGAGAGGACCCAGCGCTCTCTGCCAAAATTCCTGGGGAGCTATGCAGAGATCCCGCTGGGTGGCTCAGAATTATTATATGGCAGCACGGCCTTGTGGGGACCTGTGGGCCAGCCCAGGAGGACGAGGTCCTTCACTGAGCAGTGGGAGAAGGCTCTGTGCCACCTCCAGGCTCAGGAATCTCTCCCGGCTCACATCTCTATAAAAGTTGATTTTCTAGATGATCAAAACTTCTCTCATTAAACAACTCCCTCACTTAACCTGAAATCATCTTTAATGGAATTCCTTCTAAATTGTATTTCACACGTCCCTGACTTTTGGAAGACCCATGGTAGAGAATTTAATCAAACAACAAATGACAACGCTTACGATTAAATGCTGTCTTTGTGCCAGACACTGCCCAAAAGGCTTTCTATCAATGTTTCTCGTTTAATCCTACAGAAATCCTTGGGAATTAAGTCCTATTACTCTTCCTGCTTTATGCATGAGGCTCAGACAATTCAATAATTGTCCAAGGTCACATGGCAGGTCGAGAGTAGGGGGCCCGTTGCGCTCCCTCCAAAACCTTAACTCCAACCTCATGCCCACCTCTCTTTATAGCCTCATGGACTGAGTCTGAGTGGCACCTTAAAATGCCAAGGGGTGCCCGGGAATGCTAGCGGCACCTCTAGAGATGTGGTTGGAGTCCTCATTGTGTTCCTTGATTTCCCTTCTCCTTCCCCGCCCATGTCCTCCACCCCACTGGGTGCTGGGGTGGCACCCAGGGCTCCCCCATGCTAGGCGAGTGCTCCACCGCGGAGCTGCACCGCAGGCTCCTGTCATCAATATTATAGTTTTAGTTTACAGGAGAGCTGTGATCAGTATGCTACATGCCCTCCCCCCAAAACCCCAACTCCTACCTAAAATCTGATAAAGATCTTTTCCACCTCTTTAAAGTCTCAACCCTGTTAGATCTGTTTGGCTGAATATCCCACAGAGTTGGACCAACTTCTTTATCAGTTTAAGAAGCCCCTCTGGTTCTCTGCATTTGAAAGTGTCGTGGATTTGCTTGTCCTTAAGGGAACTCAGAAGGAAGTCCTAGTGCTCATCAGGTCAACAGGAACAGCCCTCACCAGTGTCCCTCTGGCCCGTGCTCTCCAGAACACACGCACAGCGGCGCACAGACAAGCCCAGGGCGGCAGGGAGCCCTGTCTGTGAGGTTCAGGGCGGCAGGCCTGAGGAGGAGAGCCTCCTGTCCTTACCCAGTCTTCAAGCTGACCAGGGCGTCCTCGACCCCCTTCTGGTTGAACTTGGTCATGTACTGGTGCATGTAGGGGTAGTTATTCCGGATGTTTCTCTCCGTGCTGCCGTTAGGCACCGTCCCAAATCGAAAAGGTGGAGAATAATCATGAGGTCTCTGAAACTGGAGGGGGAGGGGGAGACAGAGAAGGACCAGGAGGGGAGCAGGGGAGCAGGAAGAGGGGAGGGGAGAAGAACAGGAAGAGGAGATTAGCAATCACGGCATCTGGTGTCAGGAGGCAAACACACATGCATCAGTGGAGAACAGCAAAAGGTATTTATTCTGTGCTTTCGTCGTACTTCTCCGCATCTTCCAGTGCCGTGTCTGTGAGCTCCAGGGGATGGACGCAGCATCTGTGTTTCTCTGTGCTGTTCCCCCCAGTCCCAGCACAGGGCCCACCTGGCTGGGTGGCAGTAGATATCCTTCAGGATACACTTTCCTGCGACCTTATAGACCAGCAGGATGCCAGGCAGGCAGGCAGGCGGGGCTCCGGAAACGCTGGCCAAGCTAGGATTAAGGTATAATTTTAGTCCGATTCCTTTCTCCACCTTGTGATGAAATTCTAGGTGACTCACGGATGGCACCTGCTCTGAACTCCACTGGTAGTTACTTTTACCCGGAATGTGACCCTGTGGCCCTTCGCCCGCTCACTTCCGTAGTCACCCGTCTCTACAGGCTGTCCTCAGGGAGTGCCCAGGGGACCATGACGCAGGGCACACGGCAGGCTGGCGCTACGCAGCAGCTTCCCGAGGAGGCTCAGGACTGCGCGGCTCTTGAGCCTGTGTAAGGGCACGTTGTCCATGGTCCACGCGTCTCCCTGACCACCTGGCGAATGCTGTCTGTCCTCCGCTTTGAGAGGTCAGGTGACTCTACCTGATGGGAGGTCAAGAGGACGAGTTGGTTCTGAGTCCCAGAAACACAGCCACACCTCGACATGTCGGAAGGGCTACAGCTGTGAGCTCAGGCGTGCTGGGGAAATCAGTCTGTGTCTCCTACGAGCCGTGGGACCCGAGGCAGCTCACTTGGCCTCACACCGGCCCTGCCCACCTTCTCCCAGTGGAGCAGGGGCCATGCTGGCCCGTGCTCCGTGGGGTCCCTGAAGGGAAGAAGGAACCAGAGCGGCAGGTTTCTGTGAAATACGGAGCCCCGGAGCCAGAAGGCAGTGGGACAGACGCCAGTGAGGACTGGGCCAGGCCAGTGCTGTGCTGGGAGCCCTGGAAGGGGTCACTGGATCCTCAGGACCGCCCTGCGGGGGGCGAGGCTTAGAGGCCCCGACTTACACCCGGGGACGCTGAGGCTCGGGTGTCACGTGGCCCAGGACTGCGTGGTCAGCAAGCCGAGGCTGGAACTGAAACCTACAGGGGAGGCCCTCACTCACCGTTCCTCAGACACCACCGAGCGCCTCCTCCTCAGAGAGGGTGGGGGCTGGAGACCCCAGAGGGCAAGACACCCAGTGGGTCCGCCTCTGACCAGGCTCCAGGACTCACACAGAGTCCTCTCCAACTTGCAGCGCCACGTGCCTTTCCTGGAACCGAGAACTGCCTGAGAAGCCTCCGGTTTTGCCCAAGTCAGCCCGACCGGCGACGTTGCTCTTTCTCCCAGACTCACGCTCCATGTCGCTGTGGGTTAGACTTTGGGTTGAAGATCATTTTCCCTGGATCAGGCAGGCCTGATAGACAGCCATAAGTGGCTTTGGGAGGAGGGTCCATTCTTTGTCCAAATGAGATTCTCTGCCAAAACACACCTTGCATCGAGTGTGAGTGCGTGTGTGTTTGTGTGTGTGCGTGCACGCCTGTGCAGCAAAACGCTCTCTGCCATCAGTTGGTCAAGCAGCGTCCTCGCTCATCACCAAAAGTCGAGGCCCCTTCCCCGGCTCCTGGGCCTGCAGCTGCCCTCGCTGAGACCAAGCATCCCTGCGCGGTCATTGATCTGGCCCTTGCCACTGCCGCCCACCTCAGAGGAGCTGCAGACAGACGCCTGTTTGACTAATGGCCCTTCACTCCACTCTCCACTGTCCTAGAGGAGCCTCTGTTCTTTTGAGACCCCATTTCTTCCCTGCCCCTGATGGGCACAGTGACGGAGACGGACGCTCAGCCTCTGTGATGCTCCGGCGTTCTCTGGCTTTGGGAGCAGCATCCTTCACACACACTTCAGCCCGGGGCCAAGATCCAGGGATCTAGATCAGAGACTGACAGACTTGTTAAGGCAGGACGCACAGCACACTCCACTGCTTCCCTGTGTGTACCCACACGCGTGCCCACACTCACGAAACTCCACGGTACTCCTTCTTCTACACGTGATACACTCCAGAGTTATCCATCATGATTTTAATGGTCACAACTCTTGGTTTCACGGCTCACGGAAGAGTCCTGGCCTACAGTGAAACAGGTAGGGCGTCTCATCTCTAAAGTCCAGGTCTCCGTGGAAGGCACTCCATGGCAGTCCCGGGTAGGCCCAGCCGTGTTCCACTGTAGTGGGACTTTGTCCCAGAGAGCTCCAAGTGTCATCAGAAAGGAACGAGCACTGGTGTTAGGGAAGGAAGGGGCAGCACAGAGCGTCCCCTGTCCTGCCTGCAGGACAGAGAGCATCAACCCAGGGTCCAGGGAGGTCCTGGCTGCTCTCCAGGGTGCCCTCACTGTTCCTGCGCATGGCTGCCCTGGCCTCGGGGGCAACCGAGGGAGCTGTGTTATTTGGGGGCAGCTCAGGAAGGAGTCTGAGCCTCAGTTTCTCTAGCTGTAAACAAAGGACCCCTTTTGAAGCTAATTGTGAACTGCTTCAAAACACACCTGGCGTCCCCACCGCTTGCCACGCATCGCCCATCCTGTACGTGATGATCTCGCACGCCTCTCGGAAACCTATTTTACTTCATCATCCAGAGTCGTTGGGCCAATCATGAAGCCAGCCGCCCTCCAGGTTGGAGAGCCAGCCCACTTTCTACGTCTTCCCCTCCAACATGGGGACCCGTCTGAAGTCGTCCAGGGAACAACATGGCAAGTGCTGGTGGTGGACCGGGAGAGACGCAGGTCAGGGAAAGAAGACTTTTAGGAAAATGCAGCGATTAATCGGGTTGCTGCTCCGTTCTTCTTGTGAACCCCAAGCCGCACACTGTTGTTAAAGAGCTCGCTCGGTCTCTATGCCCAGGGTTAAGGACACCTGGCCCCTGTGGCCCTGTTTCCAGCAAGGTCCTCAGCGGGTGAGGAGCCGGGTGTTGGTGGACGTGAGCATGTGGCAGAGGCAGCCTTGATGGGAGCCCGGGGTCGGAGGCTCCCTGACAGGAGCCCTGGACCAGGACCACGCAGCGGCACAAGGAGGCACCGTGCAGGGCAGCAGCACTCCTCGAGAACACGCGTGCAGAAGTCCCTGGATTCCTTCCTTCCACGGGCTGTCACAGAAGATCAGCCCCTGCAACAGCCCTCCAGGCCCCGGAAGTGAGGAATGGTTTGTATCAGACAATGACAATGACAGGGAGGAGGAGGGGGAGGAGGGGGAGGGGGAGGAGGGGGAGGATGGGGGGAGGAGGAGGGGGGGAGGAGGAGGGGGGGGGGAGGGGGAGGGGGAGGAGGGGGAGGGGGAGGAGGGGAGGAGGGGGAGCAGGAGGGGGAGGAGGAGGAGGGGGGGAGGAGGGGGGGAGGAGGAGGGGGAGGAGGGGGAGGAGGAGGGGGAGGAGGAGCGGGAGGAGGAGCAGGAGGAGGAGGAGGAGGGGGAGGAGGGGGAGGAGGAGGGGGGGAGGAGGAGGGGGGGAGGAGGAGGAGGAGGGGAGGAGGAGGGGGAGGAGGGGGAGGGGGAGGAGGGGGGGAGGGGGAGGAGGGGGGGAGGAGGAGGGGGAGGAGGGGGAGGAGGAGGGGGAGGAGGAGGGGGAGGAGGAGCAGGAGGAGGAGGAGGAGGGGGAGGATGGGGAGGAGGAGGGGGGGAGGAGGAGGGGGGGAGGAGGAGGAGGAGGGGAGGAGGAGGGGGAGGAGGGGGAGGGGGAGGAGGGGAGGGGGGGGAGCAGGAGGGGGAGGAGGAGGGGGGGAGGAGGAGGGGGGGAGGAGGAGGGGGAGGAGGGGGAGGACGAGGGGGAGGAGGAGCAGGAGGAGGAGCAGGAGGAGGAGGAGGAGGGGGAGGAGGAGGGGGAGGATGGGGGAGGAGGAGGGGGGAGGAGGAGGGGGGGAGGAGGAGGAGGAGGAGGGGAGGAGGAGGGGGAGGAGGAGCGGGAGGGGGAGGAGGAGGGGGAGGATGGGGGAGGAGGAGGGGGGAGGAGGAGGAGGAGGAGGGGAGGAGGAGGGGGAGGAGGAGGATGGGGGGAGGAGGAGGAGGAGGGGAGGAGGAGGGGGAGGAGGAGGAGGAGCAGGAGGAGGAGGAGGAGGAGGGGGAGGAGCGGGAGGAGGAGGAGGAGGAGACAGGAGAGGAAGAATAGGAGGAAGAGAGGAATGAGAGAGGAAGTGGACAAGGGGAGGTGGCCCTGAAACAGGGTCATCTCCCGTGGGCCAGCTGTACCGCGAGGGTTCCTTCAATCCTCACATGGACCTTGCCAGAAAGGTATTAGCATCTTGCCTTTATTAGGAAACGAAACCTCGGGGATGTGGGCATATGGAAGACGTGGGACCACAATATGGCAAGGTTGGGGTCTGAATCCGGCTGCATTGACCCCAAACTTGGCATTGCTGTTGCCACTACATGGATCTGCCTCTCAGAGATGGTAGTGCCCAAGGCTCTGGAAAGGGTCCCCACCCATGTGCCAACTTTCCTTTAATCATTCCAGGGGAGCGTTTGCCCACGAATTCTCCTATTTGTAAGGCAAACCCAAGCTCATGGGAACCACAAGGGCTCCAGATATGCTGCATTCACTGCAGGCGCTAATGGTTTCAACGTGTCAGCAACCTGAGTGCTTACGCAGGTACTCATGATTAAAAACCAAAACAAACACTGTGTGCAGTATTACAACGATTTCATTTATATAGATTTTCATTTTGGAAACTTGCTTGGTTTATCTGCTATTAATATTCCGGGAACAGTTAGCCTATTTACTCTAATAATTCTGCTGTTCGTCTAATTGTAGCAAACATTTAATTAAAAGGGCTATCGGTTTGCCTCTAATGCTCCTAGCAGGGAAACGGAGCTGTGTCCCATGAGGATCTATTGTCAGCCCCTAGGTGTTTCCAAATCAAAGGTCAGTAAAATTGTTAGTGCACTTAATGAGTTTTCCCACAAGTGGTCGTATTAGATCCCAAACTACAAAGCGAGGGACTTTTTCCCCCTGAGCAACAGAAAGCAAAATACGCTGCCAACTACCTTCTGGAAACTCCTCTCACTCAGGACAGTGCTCTCCCTGCTCCCTTTGGCTTCTGGCCCCTTCTCCTAGGCACTGCAGTTTGGATCCCATGACAATGGAGTACTTAGCAGTGCCGTTGTCTGCAGGATGTGATGGGCGCATCCACACACCAGTTCCCTCTGATCCTCTGCACAACTCACAGAGAACGGCAGGCCCGGGGAGCTTGCCTGACTCTGCTGGGCCTGGCAGGGGGCGAGCGGGAAGCCACCCTGACCCCATGCCAAGCTTCACCTGGTGCCTCAGACACCCCAGGCCTCAGCTGGGGGTCTTCCGGCAGCAGCCCCCGCCCCACTGGCCAAGAACTGGGCTGAACCTGCTTTATTAATGAAGTGCTCAGGAGGAACCCATAAGGGTTGGGGTGCGGGGTACAAGGGAGGATTAGAAATCATCCTCGCACGCGGGAAACGGACACCTCCGCAGTGCGGCAGCCCTGACGCTGCGGGGCTCAGCCAGTGGAGATGGGCTTCCCGAACGCAAGCTTCCACAGGAGGGGGTGCCCTCTTCCCTCCTCCAGGTGTTTCTGAATGGCCACTCAAGCCCTGCCACACTCTTTGCATGGCAGTGGGGACTGGAGGGGAGCAGGCCACAGACAGGGGAGCTCTGAGGAGTGTCTGAGAAGGAGGAAGCCACAGGACACGGCTTTACTTCAGAGGCATTTCCCATGACAAGGGCCAGAGGCAGCATCCTCTGAAGAACCCTGGCGTGGCTCTTCACCAGCAAAGCGTGTCAGAGCAGGCTGGGCACGCAGGCTGGGCACGCAGGCTGGGCACAGGAGCCCAGGAGGCCGGGGCACCGGGGTCTAACACCGTCCATTCATGCACTCTACCAACAGGAGGTACCGAGTGCCCCTGGGTGCCAGAGAACTCCATGAAAAGTGGTCTCTTCCCAGCCAGTTTACGCCCCTCCGCTGTATCTCTTGTATCCCATTTATTCCCGTCTGACATTTTCTTCTTCCCTGACATTCATTTGTGTATTGGTTTTTCTTCCTACCAAAATTCAACTTTCGGGAGTGCCTGAGCTCACCCTGCCAAGCTCACCCCAGAGTCAGGGACGTCCTCTCTGGTATTTTCCCTAAGACCTGAGATTCAGGAGGAGGCAGCCAGGAGAAGACGGGGGCAGCACCCTCTAGGCAGGGAGCCCAGCGGGCACCGGGCAGGAAGGGGGACGGTGCGGGAGGCAGAGGGCTCTGTGTGTCCGGTCAGTGGAGGGGCCCCTACTCAGGCTCCCAGGGCAGCCCTCCGAGGGAGGCCAGCCACGCACGGGGCACCTGTGTGCAGGGGACGCCATCTCTGACCCTGGCCTCTCCTCGTCCGCCTTCAGCAGCCCTGCACGCCCTGGGTCAGCTGTAAAAGGCTTTCCACGGCTGATTCTTTATGCAGTAGTTTCTTGATGAATGCGAGAGGATGTAGGTAGACTTCTGTCAACAAGGTACAACAGGGAGATTTCAGAGAGAGAGACAAATCATCCTCACACGCAGGAAACAGAAAACCTCCGCAGTGCTGCAGCCCTGACATGCTGAGCTCAGCCAGTGGGGATGTGCTTCCCAAACGAGAATTTCCAAAGGAGAGGCACCCGGGCTCCCTCTTTTCTTCCTCCAGGTGTTTCTGAATGGCCACTCAAGCCCTGCCACACTCTTTGCATGGCACTGGGGACTGGGGGGGAGCAGGCCACAGACAGGGGAGCTCTGAGGAGTGTCTGAGAAGGAGGAAGCCACAGGACATGGGTCCTGGCTGGTCCTTTTGTGTTCCTTGAAGCGATCTCAGGACAGCTGCAAGAGCTGACTGAAAGTCAGTCGGAAGGCGGCCGGTTGCATGGTGGGGAGGAGCTACAGGTTGATTTTGTCCCTTGACAGGAGTTTAGATATGAAATGTCTGGTACTGAAGGTGAGGAATCCCAGGCTGGAGTACACAGAGGCTCTCCAAGGTCACAGAGCTAGGAGGTACCTGCAGCCTAGCAGCCCCTCCACACTGAGTTTCTCGCGGCCCAGGACAGTGGACAGTCCCCACATCATGCTCCCCTGGGAGGTGTGAGCTGCTCTGGGCTCCTGAGTCAGACAGTGCCCACCGAGGCATCTTCAGGAAGCCTGCAGAATCAGCAAGTGGGGAAACTGTGCTTCTAGATCAGATCCAGAATCCTTCAGAGCTGGTGAGCTGACCTTCAGGTGCTCAAATCACTCCTTCTGAGGACAGCAGTTAAGACCAACCCTGACACAGAGAAGAAAGCAAGGCCACCTTACCTTCTTGTCACTGAGTCCTGTTACTTGGTCCACAAACTCCTCCTGGATCATGAAAGCAGCCAGATTGGCTGTGTAACTGGCCAGGAATATGACGGCAAAGAAGGCCCACACGGACACCATGATCTTGCTGGTGGTGCCTTTAGGATTCTGGACAGGCACAGAGTTGTTGAACACCAGGCCCCAGAGGAGCCAGATGGCCTTTCCGATGGTGAAAGAAGGCCCGTGGGGCGCTGCAAACGACAGGAGAGACACTCTCAGCACTTTCCCAACACACGCGCTTGTGTATGCAGGAAAACTAGGGGCGGCCGCCGGCCACGCCGAGGATTGCTGGGGACGGCTTGGTAGCACCACAGCTGTGTCCTCTACCTGTCCTAGCACCAAAGCCACAGTCAGCTTCATCTTTCTTCAACAATTAGCATTCTGCCCACATTTCTATCTAACTGGATCTTGGCACATTTCTTTAAGAAGAAATAGGAAAAAAAATAAGAGAGAGAGAAAGGGAACGCAGAGGGTTCTGAAAAACAGGGATGGGAAGGAGAAGCAGCCGAGGCCCTATTTAAATTTGGATTTGATTTCCATTTGGGAACCAATCTCCTCGATAAATGTAAAGAGAGCCTGATTAAACCCGTCGCTGGGGGCTGCTTCTGTAGCATCAGATGCGCCCTCCCAGCAGAGCACACCATTCAGCAGGCCTCATGTTTGGTATTCTAACTCGATGGTCCCTAGCAATTGCTCCTGTTCGAATTCAGATGTAAAGTGAGCTCGATATAGGAATTAAACCAAACTAGAACTCTCTCCAAATGGAGACATTAAGGAACAGAATAATAGAGCTGAATTCTTCCAGCACTTCACAGATGGAAGGCGTTTCATCGTGGGGTCGTAGAAAATGAACCCGGCTCTGCTCTCTCCCTCCGCGTCTCCTTGCAACGGCTACGCGTGTCCCTTTTAAGATTCTTAGACGTTCCTTGCAATAGACTTAACTAAAGAGGCAGAACAATGCTGGGGAAATTTATTGAGACGGGGCCGACGCAGGCTGTAAAACACTCACGTTTGTGTTTTTCAGTCTGAGTTTTGCACAGGGAAAAATCAATTTATGTCCTTGTTTTGAGAGGAAAGAAGGTCTTCCTTTAACAGAAGGTTAATTTTTATGTCATTTAAGTAAATGAAAATATGGAAAAAAAAAAAAAAAAGATCTACGGAGACCAGGAGACCAGTTTGCCACGTGAGCAGAGCGGGCAATAAATAAAGTGGCAGAGTGTGTTCAGCTGAGGAGGTGACGGCGCCTGGGCAGGGAGCTGTGCGCACCCCTCACCGTCCCTCATCCACCGCGGTCAGGAGAGACCAACCAATTCCACCATTTCACTCATTCTCTCCCGTTTCTCTTTGCCTCCCTTTTCAATCTCACGGACTGATTCCCAAGAGGCTGGGAACTCTTAGGAAAAAGTAATAATAATGATTAGAGTCAAACCAGCTAACCTCACGACTACTTGGTTTTATTAGAGATGCATGTTGATCCAAAGTGACAGCTTCTCGGGAATCAGACATAGGTGGCCACCAGGGGCCTGTCCAGCACTCTTGGGGACTCCCGATCCACGAGTACTATTACTGGGCTACATAGAACTTTCCCCATAAAGTGCAATGTAACAGAAAAGCATTTTGCACAGAAAAACCACAAGGAGCTATCATTTCCTGGGAGTCGTCACATGCACAAGAGCAGGACACAGGAACCCTGCACCTAATGGGAGGGCTGGGCAGTTTGCATCCTGGCCTTCTAGGGCACGCTGCAGCCGAGGGAGGGACTGTGGCATGGGATGGCCTTTGCAGCACTTTAAGAAAACAAAACCAAACAGAATAAAAACCCAACCCTTCATGATCATTCTCAAATGTACCCACTTATCTCCATCCTCATTTCCTACTTCAAGTCCAAACCACTCTGACCACTGGGACACCTTCTTCAGGGGTTCCCTGCTTCTAGGGTCACTGTCCTCTCCTTTACCTGGACAGACAGGGACCTGTTCACATCGTACACCTGGGTCACCGGCTTCCCTTCCCTGGTATTTTGAAGAAAATGTGAAGTGCTCGCTCTCCGCGGCCAACCGCCCACCCCCCGACTTCTTCTCACCCCCTCGGTCAGCTCCTGGCTGCTGGACGTGCCTAGCCGGGTCCCACCTCGGGGCTTGTGTGTCTGCGGTCCCCACTGCTGAAGTGCTCTCCTCTGCTCTTCATGTGACTCGTCCTCCCATCTCAGGGCTCAGCCTGCCCCCAGCCTTCCTGAGCCCCCTCCCGGCTCTCGCACCCAGCTAAGCAGCACCCCGCCCATCACCGCCACCTCGCCCCTCTGCCCTCTTCTTTCAAGGTGCTGCTCTCGGTGCTCACTGGGTCATGTGTTTACCCGATGCAGCCACAACCCCGCACCAAGATTCCTGGGGGAGGCAGCCTCTAGCTGACCCCTTTGCTATCGGTGCACGACCCGGCACATGGCACCTACTCCAGGAATATCCACCCGTCAACGTGTGACGTCACAACAGCACGGACGCTGGTCACACAGATGTCGAGATCTGCCCTGCGGCCGCACAGTCACCCACAGAGAACTGCCTCGGCTTCCACTCACTGGAACCCCTGCGTGGCTCACTGCATGGCCTTTCATGGAAGGCACACCGTGTCCACTTAAGCACGAGGTGACTGTGACACGTCGTTACTGTAGGTTGGCTGGAGATGGCTCAGGTGGCAGTCCCTGCTCTTCAGTTGTTAAGAGGTGGAGGATTTCAGTTAAACTAAGTCCCTCGTAGAGCCCCATGACCTCCGGCTGTTTCCAACGCTTGACCTTCGGGGGGGGGGGTGGGCGGGGGAAAGCGTGCGTGTTGATGTCACGGGGCCCCGTCACGGGGAGCGTCTGAGAGCTCAAACTCTCCTACCTCCCCCAGCTCCTGAGAGCCCTGTGCCGGCTGTTGGTCCCCTCCAAGCTCCTGCTTGTCACCGAGGAGACTCCCTGTTTCTGAACCCTGGCTCCTGGGGGTGCCTCTTTGTGAGTTACAGCCAATAAGTGCCTCCCAATTCAATCTTCTACCTACCGGTTGCCTCTTTATCAAGCACGATGCACTGAAGTCGGGCACCGTCAAGAGGGAAACGCGACTCCTTGGGGAAAGATACCACTTTATAGCTACGCTGTCAAGCGCATGCAAATGTGATTCAGTAATTTGAAGAACGTTCTTAAACTAGATTCTTTGTGTAGACTGAAGTTGAGACTCGCTACGATTTTCATATTTCTTTTGACACAGCCTTTTTAATTAATTGCCAAAATACCTTTGTTCAGAGCGGCTTCCTCAACAAATCAAATATCAACAGTTTCATCTAACAATGATTGACTTCTCCTTATAAGATTAAAAGGTTTCATTTTTCTCTCTTTCTTTTTTTTTTTTAGCTGCAGAAAATGAACCATGTTTGTGTGACATGCCAAGCCACCTCTGTGGTCCAGCACCACTGGTAGGAGGGGGTTCCATAGCAACGTGAGACGAGGTACTCAGAAGCCAGATCCTCATTACGAGTGGGTGAGGAAGGTGGACTTGGGATCTACTGATGAAGGCTCCTTACCTTTCCCTTTGGCCAGGTTTCTGTTGTAGCCAACGGGACTGAAGTACTCAAAGACAAACACGGCGATGGCAGAGACGATGAGCAGCATCACGAACATCATCACCCAGACGGAGGCGCTGAAGGGTTCTGCAGGGAGACAGACCAGGGGACAGAAGCAGTCAGTCAGCGGCTCTCCACGCGGCCCAGGAGCCCGGATGTGATGTGCGGGCTCACCAGCCGAACTTCTCTAACTGGAAAATGATCATTCAAAAGAAGCCAGTCATTAAGAAGAAAAAAAAAAAAAAATATATATACACACACACACATTTATATATTTTCTAAAATATTTGAGATACTTTATAAGCTTGCATATGATATGATCAAACCAGAGAAGAGCAGAGGACATTTTGCAACTCAGATCAAGGAGAACAGAAACAAAAAGGAATGGTCAGATGAAAGGAGAAAGAAGAATGTAAGTAAACAGGCTGCGGATCCCACAGGATGGCAGGACCCTCCCGAGAACAAAGCTGGGGGACAAACGGTTGAGCACAGACTCCTGCAGCCTGGCCTGGTTTTGAGTTTTCTCTCCATCTGCACTTCTTACACACTGGTGGGCTGGTGGGTAGGGATTTCAGAGGTGAGGGGGGAATGACAACCTGTCGGGAAGGATTCCAAAATCACGGGTTGAGGAGGATGTTAGAAGGTCATGGTCTGCCACTGTGACTCTCCACTTGGCCCCTGCTACATGCAGACCAGAGCTCTGGAGCCTGTCAGTCTTGCTGGTGCAGGCACCGGGGCTTACATGCCAGGGGAAGCCATCTGAGGACACCGTGTCACGTGATAATTTAATGGGAAAGCATCATTTAAGAAATGCAGGTAGGGGGCTGGGATGTGGCTCAAGCTGTAGCGCGCTCGCCTGGCATGCGTGCGGCCCGGGTTCGATCCTCAGCACCACATACAAACAAAGATGTTGTGTCCGCCAAATACTAAAAAAAATAAATATTAAAAAATTCTCTCTCTCTCTCTACCTCTATCTCTCTCACTCTCTCTTTAAAAAAAAAAAAAAAAAAAAAAAAAAAAAAGAAATGCAGGTAGACCTAGACGGGCAGCAGTCAGTGGGTAGACGGTGAGTCACTTTCGCCAGCTCTTTCCACATCACTGAGGCAGTAGGCAGAGATCTCAAGGGCTGGCCAAGTCCCGGGGTTCTAAGGCTTATAACACTCTAGGAGGGTAAGAGACGCTACGCAAGATAAATTGGCCCTTTGATTCAACCCAGTTGAGGATGTGAAAATTAGCTGATGAAAGCCATTTTATCTACTTTTGATATATATTTGCTAAAAAATCAACAGAGACTAAAATTTCAAAAATGAGTATATCTGCCCTTGATTGCCTCACTGGGAAGAAGTCTTACAGACACGGATACCGTGGACCTAACACCCCGTTCCTCATAAGCAAACAGTGTCTGAGGGTCCGTAAGGGCAATAATGCTTCTCAACAATGAGCTTTTTATTATTTATGATGAAGAATGAGGCTGATTGCAGACTGTTAGTCTATGACTACCGCACCCAGCTAGAAGTAATGCAAAGTCCTCCTCAAGGAGCTCAGTGTTTAGCACAAAACCACCACGTCTGAGGCCTGAACTCCACGCTGTGACCTGAAAACGAGAACAAGTGCCGGGCAACCTGATTTTGATAGCGCGAATACATTAAGAAGCAACCGGTAACAACAGAACTGGCTTAACACAGAGGAGCTCAGAGATCCGGGAGACCTTGACAGAATTCATCTTACTTAGATTTGGCTTGAGTCATAGACAATATTAGGCCTCTGGAATCACATGAATTTGGTAATGAGGTGTATCCAAAAGGGAGAATAAGTAAATGAGTAATTAGGAGATTAAAAGTATTTAATAGTCAAGAACAGAGATGTTAAACTAATTGTCAATTCTGGCGTGCTGATGGCATGGTGTGCCTTATCGGAGGAGTATTCTTGTGACAAGGACGTGAGCATTTAGACATTTGTGATTCTCGTTACACGTACGTGAGCATTAAGACGCTTGGCGGTGTGCCTTTCCCACGTACGTACATACACAGTATGGCGAATGCAGCAGCGGGTTTGGGTTTCCCCTAGTGCCCTGGAGCCACGCGGGAGAGGGGTTCATTCTGACTTGATCGCACAGGCATGGAGTGTGATTTGCTGCTGTTCAGTCCCCCGTGGTCCCTGTTCCCTCCTGCCTCCCTGTCCCTGTCCCCTTCCTCTACCCACTGGTCTTCCTTCTATTTATAGACAGATGTAAAGGTGGGCTTCGGCGTGGCACATTCCTCTATGTGAACAGCACAGTCCGGTCCACTTCACTCCACAGTTCCTCCCTTTCCTGTCCTCCCTGACCCCCTTCTTCCTCTGTTCCACCCATCTCCCTTCTATTTCTGTGGGACCCTCTCCCACTTTTCCTGTGATTTTTCCCTGGATGCAGGCACGTCAGTTCACAATGGCCAAGTTGTGGAAGCAGCCCCAGCAGGTGAATGGTCCAAGGAAACGGGAATCACTGATCTCAGGATGAAGCCAGAAAAGGCGGCGGTGGGCGGGGTTAGCGCTGTGCTCGGTGGATAAAACCCACTTATGAACCAGGTGATTTCTCTGTGGGCTGTGATAACATTACAGGATCGGGGGGACCCGTGCTGAGCCCTTCTGCTCACGTGTCAGAGTGTGCACTCCTGCAGGGGACTTCCGTGGGCATAAGCATCCCGCCCACTAACACACTGGTCAGAAAGTTCAAGGACAGCTGCTCTGGCAACAAGATGGTGTCCCACTTGGAACTGACAACATTGTCCCTGGCTTGTGAGATGGCCCACAGATCAAGGGGCTCTGCTGCAGTGCTCTGGCTGTAGTGTACCAAGTACCTGCTAGTGACCCTGAAGAACCGCTATCCTCAGACGCCACACACGTGCCCCACAGTGAAGAAAAGTGTTGGGGCAACAGCGGGACACGGTCCATAGCAGCTACAGAGGAACCCGGAGCCATTTTAAACAGGTGCAGATTATATCCTCTAATGACTTAAGCCAGAACCAGCATCCACCACAGAGAGACTTCAATCCTGGAGACTCCAGGTCAGCTTTACTTTGGGCTAAAGAATTCAAATTGCTTGGAAAGTCTTCAAAATTAACTGGATGGAAATGTTACAAGAGATGTCATCTCTGTCCTTGACGAACCATTTTTACACAAAAGCTCCGTGGCATTACCTGCAAGTGTTTCCGGTGTGAGTTAATGGAGTTTGTGGAGGAGACAGAATAGGGAATGATGAACAGCAACGCAATCAGATTTGGAATGTTTGGGCTCTTCCAGATGACTGAGCCAGTGAATGGGAAAATGTAGCTCAGCACGGTTCATTATGACTTTCAGAACCTGCAGATAATGGCCGTGAATAAGGGGGTACAACGTCAGTCAAACAGGGACGTAATTTAGTGACTAGGGAAAATATTCACCTCCTGTGTAAAAACAGCTTTGCAAATTGCTTCCTCCGGCTATATTTTATTTTATTTTTAAAATATACAGCAGGAAAAGTGGGGGGTGGTTTTGCTAAATTTGGCAAAATACTTGACTTTTTATGGAAATGGTCTCTGATGCAGGTAAGACAAAAAAAAAAAAAAACATCTAAAGAAACTGGGTTGAGGCCAAATTCAATATCAGTGACCCAGTTTACAAGTCAAGTCAATTGATCTGATTGAATTGGAAAAAAGTTCTCTCCGGCTCACTAAGTAGATCTGAAGACAATTTGTAAAAAAAAAAAAAAACCACATTTCTGTCAACTTTGTCCCATGAACCCACTTCCTGCACCCTGTTCTCGAGCTCCAGGGCAAAGCCCTCTGCCAAGGGTCTGGGAGACAACGGGAAGAGCAGTCTCGCGTGACTGAGGGTGAGGGCCTCTGGGGAGCGTCAGGACTGCACTCCTCCTTATGAAGACACAGGTGTCTGTCTCCATGTCAGACACGGGGCAAAGGGACACGCGAGGAGCCTATTGAGTGTGTACGTGTCAAGCTCCACGTCACTCCAGTAAAGGGTACAAAAACTGAAGCGATGACTGCAAAATCGAATGCAGTGAGTGGCAAGGATTTCGGCAGCTTAACTGGATTATCAAAATGAAGTAGTGAGTCCACGTGCTGCCGAGAGCGAGGCACGGTCCAAGACCCTGTTAGTCAACATTTCAGCAGGGAGAAGGGAGCACGGAATCTCCACGGCGCTGACATCACACATAAGAGAGGACATTGGAGGAACCAGACCCAGGGCCTGCAGTTGGTTCCACAGGTTGGTTCCAGTCGGCAACTTTCCATAATAGAGATTTTTGTTTCTGGAAAAGTGTAAGACTTTTAGTTGACGTCAGCACTGTTCTCCCTACCCCCTTTCTCTCTCTCTCATGCAGTTCTACTCTAGAGATTACAGTTTGACCCATTTCTATGGGCATGCTAAGGAAGAATTAATCATCTGAATTCTGCTGGGCCTGGTGGTGCACCCCTGTAATCCCAGTGGCTCGGGAGGCTGAGGCAGGAGGACCGTGAGTTCAAAGCCAGCCTCAGCAACTTAGTAAGGCCTTCAGTAATTTAGTCAGATTCTGTCTCTAAATAAAATATTAAGAAGGGCTGGGGATGTGGCTCAGTGGTTAAGTGCCCCAGGTTTAATCCCTGATACAAAATCATCATCATCACGCTCATAATTCCACAATCTTCCACAAGATAGCCACTTTTATTCATTCATTTTTAAAATGTTTTTTGGTCGTTGAGGTACCTTTATCTTTTATTTATTCCTATGTGCCTCACACGTGCTAGGAAGCACTCTGCCACTGAGCCACAGCCCCAGCTCAGACAGCGACTTTTAAAAAGCCATTTATAATAGCCAAACAGCCAACAGCACTCTGCTTTAAAGAGGTTCCACCGCTCTCGCCAGGGTACCCAAGTCACCCAGCTATGGTGCTGAAGCCAGAGGACAGAAACACATCACCCTACCCTGGTTTAGGAAACAAAGGTCTCCTGTAAACGTGTAAATTTATGAAATGGTTAAAAGAATGTCCTGCTTTAGAAACCATTGGGCTTAAAGGACAGGCACATTTAGAACATGACTCCATTAATCTTAAATCAGCGCATATTCTTCAGACTGCTCCTGTTTGAGTACAGAGGAGGGCGTGAATCAGGTGTGCTCATCATTATTCTCCCTTCCTTCTCGCAGACCAACGACTGCCACTGAGGTGGGTGCGGAGGACGGTGGGGGATGCTGAACGGGGGTTCACGGCGACTTAAATCAACTGTGGACAGACAGGCTTACTCATTTTTTAAATGTTTTGCCGGGTTCTCAGCAATATTATCTACTAATTTACGCTCTACAGAGTCCAGACCAGTATCTGAGTAGGCGCAGCAGAAATCTCCCAGAGAAAGACAAGTGAAAGCCACCCACGGGGCAGGGCAGGCGGAGAACGGCAATGACTCAAGTGCAAGAGGTTCTGGAGGATGCTGGACTGTGATAGTGGGAGCAAATGGGACTCCATTTTGTTTTATGACTCCAGGCCAAGTGGAAGAGTCATGACTGGGGCAAGATGTTCTTTTCCTTTTGCTATAGAGACCTTTAAGAACACAAAAGTACCCAATGGGGTATTGTTTCTGAAACTAGGGTAACGGGCTCTGTTTCTGTAACTGGGGTGACTGGGCTAACTGGGATTGGTTAGGCTCCCCTCCGCTTGACTGCACTGTCCCGCGTCTGTAACCTGGCTGGCTTGCATTGGCTAGACCCCCATACACCCCTTTTGCGGTTTTCAGGCTTATAAGGGGCACCCTTGCAATTGTTCGGGGCTGATCAGGGGAACAGCTTTATGTTCTGGTCAGCCGCCACCGGTGTGCTTCAATAAAGGCTTGATTCGATGATACATGAGTGGTCTGGAAGTCGGTTTATGAAACCCCGGGGCCAAGCTTGAACTATAACAGTTGGTCACACGGAACCCAACAAGGTCCAGTCTGGCCACAGGCTATGAGCAAAGGGGACGGAGCAGCTGTGATCCCTTGTGGGAAAGCGGCGGGAGCCCCTGGAAGTCCACCTACCTAGGAAGGCAGAGGGTGAAACGGTGCCGTTGCTCCTGGACACCATGACGCTGATCCCGGTCTCCACGAAGGGCACGGAGAAGTCCACCACCTCGGAGCGCTCCTCGTTGATGGTCAGTGAGCCGACCGCCATGACCGCTCGCTGGTAGACCACCTGGAGGCGGAGAAGGAGCGGGGTCTGCGGCTCTGCCCCGCCGCCCGGCCCCCTGGGGAGGGCCTGCGGGACGGGCGCCCACCTACCTCCCCGATCATCCCGTTCCACACGTTGTTGACTTTCTTGCCGTGCTTCCCGTTGGTGACCAGGTAGAGGTCGTAGGTGAACTTCACGGTCCGCGAGAGCTTCTTCAGGATGTCGATGCAGAACCCCTTGCAGCACTTTTTGATGTTCATCCCCTCGTTGGTTGAATTGCTGTGAAGGAAACCCCAAGACGGCAGAAGGTCAGCGAGGGTGGGCGGGAGGGGTGGGGAGGGGCTCTGCACTTGGCCAGCTCGTCTCCTGTGCCTTCCCGATGGGGAAGCCGGGCTCAGGGAGGAACTGGCCTTTCCAAGGACAGCAAGAGCAGAAGCGTCCTTCATCACAGCGGTCATCATGACAACTGTAACGTGTGGGGGAATGGCTCCTGGCGAGGCACTCAGCTAACGGCCACTGCCGGCTGGGTTGACCCGTGACATTTCTCTGAATCAGGAGCTGTTTTTCACCCCATTAAGCAAGCAAGAGTTGCCCAGCGTACTTTTAAGAGTGCATAACACACAACCTCTTTAAACCAGTGTTCAGTGGCTCTATCTAAAAGTCAATCATAAAGCTTCTCAGAAACTGGGGAGAGGATGATGTGAGATCCTCTGTACTTTATCCTGTACTTAAAAGTCTTGAAACCGAAGGCAAGAGGGCAGGGTTCTGAAAAACCTCCCAAGAACCAGGAGACCCGCGTTCTACCCCACGCTGGAGCTGTGGACACCATCTCTCCTGGCAGAGCCGGCTGTCCATGAGGGCTCATTCACAACACTCCCCGTCTACCCAGATGGCATGAAGTATAAAAGGTGACACTCTAGTGGGAAACGCTGTCCACCGGGAAAACCCCTGTCTCAACCCAGACAGTGCTGCCGTCTTGAGGGCCGGCTTAGAATCTCCCGTGTCTTGGAATCTCCATCCTGCGTTACTCACCTGACAAAGTCTCATTCCAAGAACACCCACACGGACCTTAGATACTTCTAAAAATGAAGGAAACTTGGTCTTCCCAAACCAAGTGGCCAAGGCCCCCTCACCACTCACACAGGAAGGTCAAGGCCTCTGTGGACAACACACTTGAGTCCACCTCGAACCAAGCCATCCTCTTGGCTCAACCTTGCCCTGGAGTCGCTGAGGTCATGAAATACGTGCTCTGTTTGAATATTCCATTTGGGGCTCATTTACACACTGGACTGTTAAAAAAAAAAGCATCAAAATGATGTTTATGGAAATCCAACCCCATCGTAGAAAACATGTTTCCATGTCATGAAAAAAAGAGTCGATTACACGGAGGTACAAACAGAACGATCACAGCTCTATAAAAGCAGAGGAGCTTATTGGGGAAAAAAAAAAAAACAAACTGGGTAGAACAACAAGGGAATAGAAGCACAGCTATTTCTCAATGGGGGGAGTTTTCTCCCTCGTATTTCTGGAGGCATCCCCCAGATATCCAGAGAGTGTGGGGATCAGAGGCACCGCTGAAGGCAGAGGGTGTGCATCTACACCTACAGCCATGGGTGCAGGTTCTGGCTTTTTAGGAGACTGACAGGCCCCCAGGACTCCACGTTGACCAGAAGTGACAAACCAGGCTCGTCCCTGGGGAGCGTTGCCAAGAAAACCAACACAACGCCGTGTCTAACAGAGATCCTTTCAACCGTGGGCTGCCTCAGCCCTTACTTTGGAAGATGCAATTGATCTAACTCGTGTAGATGCCGGGTCAGGGCACCCTAGTGATTTTTTCCACTGACTTCGAGGACGTCGGACCCCAGTCTCACCTGGAGGCCCAGGCCCAGACCACCCATGGAGGAAAGGAAGGAGCAGGCTCCCGCCCCACAGGAGCCAAAATCGTGCCCTTGCACGTGCTAAGCCGTTTCTCGTCTTCAAGGGGAACGTCGGTTCTTTAGGGAGAGCAATTCAGTTTGGGGATTTCTCCTCACACCGACAGACTCGGGTACGGCTGACCCCTTGTTTCCAGCTCCAGTGCTACCGAATTTAAAGATTTCAAACTCTTCTTATCGACTGTGAAGCACCCAAGGCCCCGTGGGCCCTATCCAAACCTGGGGGTACCGTGATGGGAAAGGAGGTGTCCTGCCAACGGCGCCCTCAGTTTTCGTCATTCTTTCCACATCTGACCAACTTCTGCCCGCAGGACGCCCACGCAGATCCACACCTCCTGGGACGACCTCCCTCCTTCTCCCCCCAGGCCCTTCCAGCTCCCCCGGTGTCCCCCGGGTGTCCTTTTGTCCCCAGCTTGGCTGCCCCTTCCTTCCCCAGGGCCTTTGCTCCTGTGCTCCTCCACCTGGGAGGCTCCTGCGCACCGTCACAGGCCCGCCTCCTTACCCTTCACACTGTCCTTGAGCACTGCTGGGTGACCTCCAGAGCCGCACAGACCCCTTGCTCTCTGACCATGACACCTGGTTTGTGGTTTCACAAGGTCCACCATCACCTGGCGCTGCCGGCTTCCTTCACGGGCAGAGTCAGGATCTGACTGTCTATGACAGGACCAGAGGTCCCGTCTCCTCTGTGTCCAGAACCGCGCCTGACACACGGACTGCACTTAATGCAGGTTTATGCATCAATGTACTGACCTTTTGGGTTTTTTTTTACATTTTTATTTATAACAACATCTGTGCTATTTAATCGTGGAGGAATTCAGCAAAAGTTATTGAGACATCATGTCCCTAGGTGGGGTCATCTGCTTGCCTTTCCTTGATGAGTTTCCTATGCATCTCCAGGGAAGGGGAGCCCGGGTGAGGGACGCGGGGAGTGGGGAGGCCTATTCAGGATGGATCTATTTATTCCCTTCATGATCTATTCAGAATCTCACCTCCAAAGAAGTTGACCTTGTAGATAAAATTTTCTCCAAGCCAAAGTGTGCCTTCATAAGACATTTAGCCAACATATATATAAAATATACGCCCGACCCCAAGCTCTGAGATCCGGGGCCTGCATCCTGACTAGGGGGGACTAAAGTCAGAGTGTGGAGTGGAGGAGTCACGGTGCCTGCTCGTCCTGGGCACTCCGCAACCCTGGTCCTGTGCTCTGTGACTGAGAGATCAGCCAGGCACAGTCCCCATACGGAGGTGGCTTGTCATCCAGCGGGAAGACAGACGAATTATAAACTGTAAAGGCAGGTGATACGGGTAGAGATGGACTCCACCCCGGGCACCGCAGGGACAGGCAGAGCTGGCCTAACCTGGGGAGGCCGTGGCCAAGCTTAAAGACCAGGGGGAAGGGCCCCAGGGGAAAGGAAAGGAGGTGACCGGGAAGTACTCCGTCCAGCAGAGGCCTTCCCTTCTAGTCGCTCTCCTGGGGGGGGGTCTGGGCCCATGCTGGCTCAGGAAAGCCGGGGCCATGGCGTTTCCTGGGTTCCCAAAGGGCTCGTGAAGACGGAGCCCTACCAGAGGGTCACAGGAGGTGACAGGCAGCCCAGGTCGCTGTGGGTGAGCAGGGGAGCTGCAGAGGTTCAGGCTCCACCTGGGTGGCATCTGAAAGTCACACCAGGTATGTGCCTGTCCTGAGCCTCAGAGACAGACATTTTTTTTCTTTTTTGGTTCCAGGGATGGAACCCAGGGGCACTCAACCACTGAGCACATTCCTAGCCCCTTTTATTTCCTATTTTGAGACAGGGTCTTGTTGAGTTGCTTAGGGACTTGTAAGTGGCTGAGGCTGGCTTTGAACTCGCAAGCCTCCTGCCTCAGCCTCCCGAGCCACTGGGATGACAGGTGTGGGCCACCGTGACCAGCCAGAGACAGACTTTTAAAATTTTTCAGAAGGATGGGTCTGGGGGACACCCAGGAGATGAGGGAGAAGGACATGCTAGGATGAGGGGTGACGGCCAACCCCGGAAGTCATGGTTCCAGCAAGACTGAGGGAGGGCTATCCTTGTTGCTTGGGGAGTTCAATAAAGGCCGCGTGGCGTGTCCCCGGCAGGTGTGTCTGCCGACCTGTTATCGTGTGATTACTGTAGTAATGGGGTCATTCTGAGTCACACTCACATCCAGCCACAGATGTGCCATTGGCAACGACACCCGCGATTTAAGAGAACCAGCCCCCGTCACTCACTTGATCTTGACGAACTTCCGACAGGGCACCGTGTTCCTCACGCACGTCTCGGTCAGCGGGTCTATGTCCTCCACGATGACGAAGGGAGCCTCCTCCAGGGTGACGATGCTCAGGTGGTTGTCGTCCGGCTCGCAGTCGGAGAAGGACTTGTACCTGGGCCACACGGCGTGCCGCAGGCTCAGGCTCTGGTTCTCCCACTTCCCCACCTGCATCAAACACAGAGGCCACTCGCTCTCCTGCCCCAGGACTCCCTGCAGGGCCAGGCCCGCCCCCTAGGCGTCCTGGGGGGCAGCGTCCCTCCTGAGGGCGTTCCTGCCGCGAACTTCAACATGTGCACGATTAGGAGCTAAGAGAAATGAAAAGGGAAAGGGTACATAGCACCGGGCGGCCCCACCTCCCAGATCCCGCCTGGAACCACTACACCTGCACGTCTGGGGGACGTCCCGGCACTGCCACCCTCACGGCTCCCCGGGACCCCTGAAGCGAAGGAAGCAGCAGGGACCCGGAGGATGACAAGGTGCAGGCCGTCTCCGCCTCTCACCGGCCTGCAGCTCTGAGGTGTGCACATCTGAATCCCAGAGCTTCCGCCCCGTCATCTGACAGAGGCCCAGCCACACCTGGGAGGCTAACAGGGCCATGCCTGGCACGTGGTGGAGACTCCTACCTTCTCTTCAAGTTACAGAGGAGAGACAGGAACAAAGGTAAAAAGGAGCTAAGGAAGTACAAGAGGAAAGGCGAGGAAAGCAGCGACCTGGGGGAAGGGACGACCCAGAGGGACAGCAGGTGGCGGGAGGAGAAGCACCCCTCCAATCCCGGATACAGCTCCCGTTTAAGCGGCAAATTACGCTGAACTTTGGTTAATCTGCACAGAGGGGAGACGCTGCCGCTTAGTGTACACGGAGACCTGTCAAAACAGAATCGACTGCATCCCCTCAGAGCAGCAGTCGGCCTCCGAGCAAAAGCAAATTGAAGGCTGTAGGTTTTGCACCTTAATTCTATTTGACAGGTTATTGGCACTATTCACATTCCTGCCGGGAGGAAGCTGCCCCACGGCCTCTCTCGCCGTCCTCCTCCTGCTCCCACGCACGGTGCTTGACACCGCAGGTCAGCACTTCGTCTGTAACACCCACCTCCAGGAAAACACCTGGTCTGCAAAGCTAAGTGCAGGCGCAGGCCCGTCTGAGCCGTCGTGACCCACTCACCTCTCCCCCCCCGCGACATAGTGTGGCCAGAAATGAACCAACCGGAGGCCCTTCAGGAGATTCAGACGCCCTGCACCAGACAGGAGGGGGCGGGTCCCTGATCCCTGCACTGCCTCATCATTTGGGCTGGCTGTAAAGAAACACCCATGTGGCTGATCACAACGTGCTCTAGCTTCTGTGACCCTGTCTCCTTAAGGTAGGAAGGTCAGCAGAGCTCTTTGCAACGTGCTCGTATGTGCCACCCGGGCTCAGGAGAACATGGGGCCCATCGGATTCTTCTTTCATTCCACATGGATCCACTGAACACCTACTATGTGCTGGCACCAGCCGAGGAACAATCCTGGATTGTTCTTAGAGAGACTTCTGCCATCTTAGAGCTACCAATCAGCTGCAATAATAGGGTTATTACAGTGGCTTGGGAGGCTGAGGCAGGAGGATCGCAAGTTCAGAGCCAGCCTCAGCAACTTAGCAAAGACAGAGATCTAACCAATAATGCTGAACACAGATACAAAGATTTGCACACTTTTTCCTTTTGGAATATGTTATACTAACCCCCTTTCTTCCCATTTGTCTTTGAAAACTCAAACACAACCTTTGAGAGAGGTTGGGTAGCTTAGTGGAACAGCTTTGGGGGTCAAGTAGAACGAGGGAAGAAGAACGAGGGGTTCTTACTGGCTTCACCCTCTAGCTGAACAGGCTGGGGAAAGTCCTTTGGCCCCTCTGAGCTTCTCTTTCTCTGTTAAAATACAGAGAGAAAAAAAGAGAATTCCTTTAAGGACTGCAGGGAGGTTTGAATGAGCCACTGCTGTCCATCACACACGGAACCGACACCCAGCGAGGCACGTGACATCACTATTCTGTTGCTGTTGCTGTTGGCATTTGAGACAGAGATCAAATGTCAGCTTATTTGTAAAGTGGTTCTTGCTTTTCCTAGAAATCTAGAATTCTGCATCTCTCTCGACCACAGCGTGTTGATACTATCTATGATCATAACAAGGTCACAGCTGACACTTCTGTGTTCAGGAAGGGTGTCCGTCTCACCACTTAGTCTAATTCCACCAAATCCAACATGGTGGGAAGGGAAGCATGGAGAGGTTATGTGAGCTGCTCAAAGTCACACAGCAAGCAGGTGCAGAATGAGATACACCACGGGGCTGTCTGACTCCACGGGGTTTCCCGTCAAATACTCAGTGCTTCTACCAACTGAGCAATGATGACATCGCTCTACCTACAAGGCCCTTCCTTCCTTGCAGACCTGGCTCCTGACATCCCAAGATAACATAGATCAAGGCTTGAACGAGCCCTGAACTAGTTGGTTATGCATTGGCCTCACTGCACACCAGACATCAAGGACAAGAGCCAGCCCCAGAGTGACTCATGGGGAAAGAGTCACCAGCTCCAGAGTGTGGTGTCTTCCTAGCTCCCGGCTGCTGCCCGCTTCCCGTCACATCCATGCAAGGACCCGTGTGTCAGCCCAGGAGGACGGAGGGAGGTGGCAGGTGGAGAGTGCTTGATCAGGAACGGAAGCTTCTGGGTAAACACTGCCCCAGATCCTGAGGGCTCTCTCCTTCTCTCCTGAGTCCACAGCTTCTTCAGGACCCATCTCAAACACCAAGAGTCCCAACTCCAAGACTGTCTACCAGATCCGAAGCTGGAGGACAGGCTGAGCGTTGGCATTCCGCACCCAAAGCAAAATACCGGGGAGCGAGGGTCTCTCCCAGCAACCTCCGTCTCCCAGACTCCGAGCCATGGAGGTGGCTGTCTGCACAGTCCTGGGAATTAAATTTCCCTGGACAGCAAAGGCACCGTGCTCTCAGCACCTGGAAAGGCGATCCAGCCACCCTGCGGTGTTCACAGGGAAAGCAAGACTCCACGGGAAAAACCCGGAACTGGGGGTCAGGAAGCCTTGGTCTCCATCCTCACATTGTCTCTGCTAACCCCAGTTTGCAGGGGCAGGAAACAGGCTTGGAGCCTCCACACTCCAAGCGTTTCTCTTTGGAAATTGTGTCCCAAATGGAAGAGCCTTGCGCACTCTGAAACCGGTAGCTAGCCATCTCATTCCACCTTGGACCTGATGGTGCCACCCCTGCTGTTCTCTAAAATGGACCTTCTTCCTTTTCCAAGGCCCTTCTCCATGATGCACTCCACACTCTACTGACATCAAGACCCATAAAAAGCTGCTCTGAGGAGTGAGCCAAACCGAGATCACAGCACCCTTCCTTTAGCTCCACGTTTTCTGAGGCAGAGACCAGGACCTCAGAGCAGGTGAACGACGCAGCCACTGCGGCCACGTGAGCCTGTATCTGGAGCTAGAAAGGGAAGGTCTCCGGGGACAGGTGGCCGAAGGCCTGGTTAGACGGAAGGAGGAGCCGGACAGAAGGCACGCCTGTGCACGGCATGGGGTCCAGGCTCACGCGCCTGCCTGGAGGGGTTCCACTGAATTTTCAGGAATCACCTCGGTGCTGTGGACCCTTCCCCATCCTCCCTCTCGTGGAGCAGAAGGAAAGGGCTCAGCCTCATGAATGGCCTGGACTCAGCAGAGTCAGTCGGTTACAGTCAGATTTTTTTTGCTAGTGTGACCAAAAGACCTAAGAGAACAATCAGAGGAGGGAAAGCTTATTTGGGGGCTCACAGTCTCAGTCCACAGAGAGCCGGCTCCACCGTTGAGGGCTTGAAGTGGGGCTAAGAGCGTGGGGAGGGTCTGGGGGAGGAGAGCCATCGAAGACATCCACAGGAAGCAGAGAGAGACTCCACTCACCAGAAACAACACGTCCCCCACGACTGCCAGCCACGCCCCACCTGCCTCCAGTCCCCACTCAACCAACCCCTACCAGGGGGTTAGTCCACTGACTGGACCGAGGCTGCCGTAGCCCAAGCACTTCACCTCTGAGCCTCCTTCCATTGTCTCACACATGAGCTGCTGGGGGACATCTCCATCCGTCCATAACACAGATGAGCAGATTTAGATCCTGCCCGACCCTAGCCACGTGACCTTGAACAACCTTGGTTTCTGCAAACACCACATGGTAACACTCCATTGCACAGTCATCGTGAGGGTTCTCGGGGGTTAAGGACAGCAAACCTTTGCGAGCACACGGTACCTGGCCCACAGAAGGTCCCCTGCTGGTCCTGTTGTCCTTCAGTCAACATGTACTAAGTCTCTCTTTGAGAAGACGAGAAGCTTTTGCAGGGGAAGCGCAGACCGAGGCAGTGGAGACCAACCCGAGTTCCTGCCATGACGTGCCCTTGACGGGTCCTCTTCTTGGTCTCGGCCTCCGCACCTCTAACAGGACATGAGGGGTTGGGTTTGGACTAGGGGACCCCTAGGGCCTTTCAGATCTGAGCTTCTGTGTAAAATACAGGGGCGAAGTTGTCTTCTCAGCCCTTCCCCGATTCGGGACCAGGTACCAGTAGAGAATGAGAAGAGGGGGAGGGTAGCGCTCCTCGCTCGATGTTTACTTCTGGACGGTCAGGGCAGAGGGACGCGCCTGCCTCTGGAGAAGGTGGCAGGAGGTTCTGAGAATCCACCAGAGGGCTGAGGGGCACAGGGTGGGGTCCGCAGAGCCCTCCGAGCTGCAAGAACCAGTGGGCCCCAGGCCAGAGGCTTCACACCAAGTGGACTTTTCACCTTCTAGAAAGAGGCACAAGCCCAAATACCGGCTCCGCGACGTTCCTGCTGTCGCGCTGTGGACACTGATGACCGAGTCACTGTTCACACTGCTGGGTGTGAGCATGGGCTTCAGGGAACAGTGCTGACGGGACTCCAGGCATTTCCATCCTCAGCGCAGCTCCAGGAAGCAGGTAACCATGACGACCCTCGTTACATCATGAGGAGACTGAAGAGGGACAAGCCTCGCTCAGGTCATGCCATCAGGGCCACCGCAGGATGTAAGTCAGACAGCGAGAATGAAGAGCGCGGCTCACTCCCTGTCACTCTCAGAAATGGGTGTCTGTGTTAAAGGTACCTGCCTCATAGAGTAGTAAGGGCTCATAGGTGAGGAAGG